AGTTGATGAACTATAAGTTAATAAGTTAATAACTATAAGTTAATAAGTTAATCCTGGCTGTGTTGCCATGCTGTAACAGGAGAACAAAAGTGTTTTGTATGACCTCAAAATACTAAAAAAGAAACGGGCTTTTCCACTGGCATGGGGGAATTCTTAAGTAGAGAAATCCAAGAAAGATTAAAAGTAGAGAAACAGTAGAGAAAGTACCATGTGAAGAAAGCTTAGGGAGGAGAAGTCCCAGGAGAGTTTGTAGCAAGAAAGCAAGAAGGGTGGGAGTTGAGATAAAAAAACAGTTTGGCCAGAGGAACTCCTTCCTAAGAAGAGGGGTTTGTCAGCTAAAGTGTCCTGAGCATGATTGATGGGCTTTAGTCGGAAGTCGGCTCTCAAAGAGAGTTTTATTCCTACATTGGTCACACACACACTTAAGTTCATACAGGCAAGCCAACCTCAAGTTCCCAAAGTACCTCTGACTGAAGACAGCAGCCAGTTAGCTGGGCCTTCCACCCAGGTGGAAGTCCTCCGGGCCTGGAAGTCTCTGGGCTCGAGGGCCCACAGTCTGGATGATCACACAGAATGTAGAGCTGATGCCGCTGTGAGAGAGCAGGCCTCTGATTAGCAGCAAGCAGAATCAGGGAGCAAAGGTCAGTTCACAGTGCGCTGAATAGAGGAGCGAGCAGAAATTTCAGCTGAAAAGCAGTCTGAGTCCAAAGGGGACAATGAGTAAGACTCCGGAAGAGCAGCAGAGTAGCCTCCATCAAGTCCTTCACACAGAGCCAGTTTTTTTGGTTCGTTTGTTTTGTTTTATATATTTTTTACATCATTTTTAATTTTTGTACAATGTATGCATTTTCATCTTGGTTATAGTCCCCGTAAAATTCCCACCATCCTTGTTTGCTCCTACTCCCTTCATGATCCAGCAATTCCACTCCTAGGGATCTACCCAAAGGACCCAAAAACATTAATTCAAAAGGACACCTGCACCCCTATGTTTATTGCAGCACTATTTACAATAGCTAAGCTATGGAAACAACCCAAACGCCCAAAAATAGATGACTGGATCAAGAAGATGTGGTATATATACACAATGGAATATTACTCAGCAATCAAAACAGATAAACTCATGCCATTTACAGCAACATAGATGGAGCTGGAAGGGATCACGCTCAGACCCAGTTTTTAGGACTGTTCTGAGTCTGCTTCAGGTATCCACTCCTTTTATACATCCTTATCAGGCTTAGCCTCGGGCACCGTCTGTTTTATCAGTCTTTAACACTCAGTACATGGCCTCAGGTACTTTCACTCACAGTGCTCGCAGGCACCTTAATATTTTTAGTTTTACTTGTAAGCTTTATAGTTCATTACATAAAGTGTTCCCCACAGTTTGGCATCTTATTGCCTGACCCAAGGAAGACAGACAGGGTGGGGGGCCAGGAGGCCGGAGGTGACTACACTTGCCGAGAATATACTGGCTACAGTCAGAAACTGACTATGACGCCTAGTAACTGCCTCAGTCTCCTCTGTGAAAAGTCACATTGCACTCACCAGCGAGCATCTACCAATATGGTTATTCCAAAACGGGAATCAAAGAGCTGTGCTCACAGCTCCTAATGCTGAGTATACACACACACAGGACACAGCCATCATACCTCTGCATATACCGCCATCAGAAATGCATATATTATATATGCCAAACCTAACAGTGTGCTAGCCATAGAAAGGGGAGGTTCCATGTTCCCTGTCCCACCCAAGGAATGCTGCAGCTGGGCAAAGAGGAGAATGTAGAGAGGGCAGCGAGGAGGAAGGGTGGGCATCACGAAGACTAGGAGGAGGCCCTTGGAACAGAGACATGTGAAGAAACTGCACTTGCTTCTCAGCCTTGAATTTGTACCAGGGTCTTGGGGATCATGGAAAGAGACACTTGAAAGAGACAGAGACGTGAATGAGACCCATGGGGAGACCGACAATGACAGCCTTTATCATGACTTGGGTTTTGATGTTTCTCTTCTCCTTTCAGACTTGTCCGGCTCCTTCTGCCCCTTTTTCCTATAGGTCCCCACCAGAAGGTGCCTTAGACCTGTGGCAAGATTTTGGGCCTCAGTGTCCTTACCCTGTTTTGTGCCAACCCTGTTTGGCTGGGCATTTACCCATGAGGGGATAGGTAACTTAGGGTGTTTAACTGGAAACTAGTTTAACTATATTCCTTCTTCTCCTTATTACACACTAACTAATTGTATTAGTTATTTTCTATTGAAGGTCTTAAGCACTAGAGTATGTTTTATCTTTTTTTTTTTTTAAAGATTTATTTATTTATGCATACAACGGCTGGAGTACAGGCCAGAGATGCAGGGGGTGGGGGGTGTGCATGTGAGAGGATTCACCAGAGACAGAGTTGGGAGCAGAACAGGCAGATTGACTAAAACACACTGCTGAGGGGAGCAGCAGGAGAGGTCTGCTTTGTCATGTGGGTTTCTCCCTGGCAGGCCTGGGATAGACTCGTGCTACAGAGGCTGTGGATTGCTTCACAGCGCTGTGCTTAACCCCTTGCGCCACCAAGGAGGCCCCCAGTATGTTTTGTCTTGATGCAGTAGATGGCAGAACCTATTTAGTGCAGGCAGGTTTGGGGATCCCAGAGGACACAACAATTGAAAGGGAGCATCTGCTTCTTGATCTGAATGCTGAGTGCATGGGTGTGTTCAGTCTAGAAAATTTGTTAAACAATACACTTATGGAGTGTTTACTTTTCTAATATGTATACTATACAAAAAAAAATAGCTATTAAAGTAAGAGAGCCTAGTATGGCCTTTTAGCCCTCTCACCTCATTTTCCCTCACTCCCTGACACATCTCAGCCACTCCTACCTCTGCACGTGCACTTAAGCCCTGGCGGTCTCCCCCAGAGCCTGTCTGTCACCATCCATATTTATGGCTTCCTCCCTCCAGGCCAATGATTCAGGGGCCTTTGCTAACTTATGTGACTTACTCTGATCCAACCTCTGCTTCTCCTTCCTCAGCAGTAAGGGAGTTTGCACCATCATTAATGTGCATATATTCACAGTTGCTTCATTTCTGCCAAGCGTTCCCACTAAAAACACAGAGTGTGCCCTCTGGGAGCGACCTCAATCCTCCCAGTCTCCACAGGCAAATGGGATTAAATGGCTCCTCAAGAGCTAGAAGGGTAGGGGTGGCAGACTTTGCCCCTTCTCCCACGAACTGCTGGCTCTGAAACTCTCCTCTCTGTGTCCCTTCACCTGGGTGGATTTCTGCCAAAGAACCTGGAGCCTCTTTTCATTGTCCATCACCTCCTAAGAGCCAACCTACTTCCACTGCTGCTAAATAGCCAAGCAAGGAAAGCAGTGAAGAACTGGAGGAGGCAAATCCAAGAACAAAGGGTTTTTATAGTGCCTTGAAAATAGCCTTAAAATTCACTACCAGTTCACTACTCTTCCGAAAACATAGGACAATGTGGCAGTCTGTGCCAAAATGGATAAGCATTTTCAAAGCAGGTAGTCATAAAAGCAAATTTTTAGAATTTATCCCTATCAAACCTCCCCCCATTCTCCTCTGTACACCCTTTCATGCCTTTCCATCTCACTCATTTCCTTTCTAGCCTACAGTAAGAATAGCAGCTAATCATAACCAAGAATATCCAAGGTTCATTTCATCCTACTCAGAAAGCAGCACTCATATACTGTGATACTTGGATTCCAATGCTCTGCCAGTTCACATTCTTCTCTCCTTAACCAAGCAATGGTTGAAATTCTGGTGATCCCCTGTTCGACGAATAGAAATTCCCTACACCTTCAAGTTTTCAAGATTACACAAATGAAACTATGACTTTGACTGTTAAGTGACTGTTGAGTCACTTAACAGTCACTCAACAGATATAGATTCCTTTTCCATAGTTTTAGGGCACACAACCTTCTGTGAAAGAGGATTAGCAATCATAAGCCAAGAAGGCTCACATAAGTACCAGAGGAAGGAGATAAGTCACCCTCCTCCCCATAACTCCAACAACCAGCACCATGCTTGGCACAGCCCACAACTCAAAGATACCAGATGAACTCGGCAGCTAAAGCCATTTCATTCCCTATTTTAATAACAAAAAGCAAAAGCCAACGGCGTACACAAATTAGGATTTGGGAACAAAATTTGTCTTTCAAGTCAGCTAGTGATTTTGCACTAGCTTCACTCCAAAGCCCATTTTGCAGTCAGAATGATGGCACCAGGGGTCTCAAAGGACCTGGGCCATCAGCAGGTCAAGCATCCCACTACAGAGCAGATCGGGCCCCAAAGGAGGATTAATGAAGGCCAAGGTCAGCCCACTTGTGCAGGGGAGGGGCAGGACCCCTCCTTTCTCTATTTGCTGGGCTTCTCGGAAATGCTCCCCAACAACCCCGCCTTACTCACACACTAAAGGCGAACAGTGAATGCATGCCCAGTCACACGACAATTCAAAGGCACCAAAAAGGTCACCAAAATGTGTCTCTTCCACAGGGCTAGTCGCAGACAGGCAGCAAGGAAGGTCACTGGCGAATTTCTACCCACAGATACCACACACCATGCCCTGCCGCTGGGTGCAAAGGGAGCTCTGCAGGGTCTAGTTACACTGCAGAGGGTCCCCCAGTCCCGACCTGGAGAAATGGGTTAACTAACGGCTCTGATGGCTCCGAAGCTTCCACCAATGAATTAACCCCGACTCGCTGCGGAAGGCTGGGGGCGTGGGCGGGGGGAGGCCCAGTGCAGCTGAACCTGCCACCCCTGATCTCCTCATGCTTCTCCACCCCCGCCACCCTTGCGCGGGCCGCGGCGCCCCCAACCGCGTCCCCGCGGCCCGGGGCCACGACTTCCAGCTCCCGGCCCCCAGCCAGACGCACCGGGGCGCGCAGACCCTGCGCGCAGCTCGGCGATGCGGGGGCCGCTGGGGAGCGGGGCAGGGCTGCTTTCCGCCGCTGCCCCCAGCCCGTGGCCGGGCTACGCAGCAGAGGGGGCTGCGCCACGTACCTCGGCCGGCAGGTGCCGCAGCCGCCGCCTCGGTTCGCAGCTTCAGGGCTCGCCGCTCCGCGCCGCCAGACGCCGCCGTCCGCATGCTAGGGAGGGGGCGCCGGCCAGCCGCCCAGCGCCGGCCCCGAGCCCCCACCAGCCCCCGGCGCGAGGCTCGCGCCCATTCAGTCCCCGCCGCCGGCTCCCCCGCGCGGATGCGGAGGCGGGGCGCGGGCGGACCCGGCGTCACGAGGGCGCGGGAGGCCAATCCCCGCGCGCGAGGCTCCCGCGGCCGCCCGCCCCCAGAGGGCGACCCCTGCATCCCCGAGGCTCGGACGAGCCGGTCGCCCCCATCTGGAAACACCCGGGGGGGCGGAGCGGAGGTGCCGGGCGCCCGCTGCGCTCTGCAATTCTGCGTGGCGTTGCATGGTGGAAGGTGCTGGTTACGTGGTGGTGTATTTAAACTGGTTATTAAATGGCTTTTATAGTGCAGAAGGCTTGTAGGTGGGGTGGGGTGGGGGGCGTAGAAAAGGGCTTTACTCGCCGGCACTGCTTCCCCAGACTGACCCTGGCCGGTGGTTGCTGGGACCCTGGACACTAGCAGAAGACAGCCCTGGCGGGCCTGGGGATCTGTAGAACAGCTTTATGTGGTTCCACGTGTAGAAGAGAGAGTGATCGTTGCCCACTATTTTTATTGATGAGTTATTGATGCCTAAAGAACAGAAGGTACTCTAAATCATTGAGGGCATTTAATGGTAAGATCGGTTTCAGAAGCTGCGCTTTGAACAATCACATTCGTAACACCAGAGTCCCCTTGATTCTAGAGATGAAAAGTCGTACAGTTTTTAAAAGTACCAGTATTAGTGAATCCCCAAATTCAGGATTTAAAAAAAATTAAAGCATTGCACAGTGTTACGTCTTTGACATAATCAAGGGTGTGTTATGCGCCTGCCACACTTATGTGCCTTAGGACGTGTTGACTGTTCTATGAATTCCCACTGAAGTTGGTTCTGCTTTCAGAATTTCCTTTCAGGTTGACATAGAACTTCTCCGTCCAGTGCCTGTGATACCGGTTCCGGTTCGGGTTTGTAAAGAAGATCCTAGACACTGAGCCAAATGTATTTACATAAACCGAGAGACTTTCTCTTTTTTACAGCAGGTTTGCTCAGCAACTTGGACATGTCTGTGCTCTTCCCCAGTATTGGCAGGGATGCTGGGGAAAATGTGGTATCTGGGTAATAAAGGGTCAAAAGGAAAATCTTAGGAAGGAAAGGATGGCAGGACTCTGTGTTCATACCTCCCAAAGGGGTTTTGCCACAGAAATGGTTTAGGGATATTCTTAGGTGAGGATACTGGAGAATTTTGAAAGATTGGAGGAAAAGCTGTCCAGTGAGTTGAACAAGACTGCCTAGAAAGAGCAGCTGCTGGGTTAGTGACAGCTGCAAGGACAGTGCTGAACCTTCACCACCCTCTTTCTTGGAGACCAGCCCTACCAGAACTGCCAGCTTGACCAGATATTCTTTACCTCTGTCTTTGACTCAACTGCCGGTCCCCTTTTCTCCCAGATACCCCTTATCCATTAAGCCAGGCCCTGATAGCATTATCACTACAATGGGGATCAACAGTTCCTTGGCTTGAAAGAGTGGGTATAAAGTGGGCATTAAGGAAAAAGTCAGTTTGAAACTGCCTCTTGTGCTTGTCTAACAGGACAGCTGTCAAGGATAGCCTGAACACACTACTTCATACCCCACTTGCTTTTGGTTGGGACAGAGATTGACCCATTTGTGCAACAACATGATCTCTTACCCAATACTTGATCTTCCATTAGGGAGCCATCCTGAGTTGTTTTGGATTAAGACTGAGACCCCCAAACAATAGATTAGGGTTAGCTGCTAGATCTCAAAATCTTACCTGGTCTCAGAAGCTTCAGGACACTTAGTAGCAAAGAGGTTGGATTAGTTGTAAGTCTGGGAAAGCCACTATAATTTTGTAATTCTTTAGTTCCTTATGCACATTACTTTGGTCACTGATAGCAGGCATTGCAGTTGCCCTCAACATCCTATTCACTCTCCCCTGCTGTGATGCAACATGCAATTTAGGTAAGTTTGCCCAACTCTTAGCTCTGTGAGGGCTTTCACTGGTCGAAGCCTGCAGCTCTCAAAGTATGGTCAGTGCATCCTTGGGGAGTCCCTGAGGACCTTTCAGAGAATCTCTGAAGTAAAAATCACTTCATGATAGTTTAAGACATTATTTACTTTTCTTGCTGAATATGCAAAAGCAAACGTGGGTAAAACTGCCAGCATCGTCACAAATCAAGGTAATGGCACAAAACTGTACAAATAGGGCCTCCCTGGTGGCACAGTGGTTGAGCGCTGGGTTGCGAAGCTACCCACAGCCTCTGCAGCGCCGGTTCGATCCCCGGCTGCTTCCCGGCCACCGGAGGAGGGTCCCACATGGCGCGCAGACCTCTCCTGCCGCCCGCTGCTCCCCTCAGCAGTGTACTTTAGTCCTTCTGCCTGCTCTGCTCCCTGCTCTGGCTCTGGTGAATTCTCTCACCCTCCAGCGCTTCTAACTGTACGCAGTGCTTATATAAATAAATACATAAATCTAAAAAAAAAAAAAACAAACTGTACAAATATTCTTCACTGCCACATACTCATGGTAAAAAAAAAAAAAGAAAGAAAAGTGTGGTTTCACTTAAGAATGTTCTTGATGGAGCAGTAAAAATTATTAACTTTATTAAAATCTCAACCCTTGAGTATGCATCTTTTAAATATTTTATGTGACAAAATGGAAAGTGCACATAAAACACTTTTGCTGCAAGTGAGAGTGTGGTGATTGTCCAAGAAAACGCATCCTGCCATTATTTAAGCTGAACTAGCTGGTTTGGGGTTTTGATTTTTTTTTTTCATGGAACACCATTTTTACTTGAGCAAACAGCTGACACATTAGAGTTACTCCCAACTGGGTATTTGGTAGATATTTTCTTGAAAGAGAATTAAGTGAGCCTGTCTTTTCAAGAACAACTGACTGCTGCCCATGGTGAAAAATATTCTAGCTTTCAAAAGAGATTTAGAATGTACGCTTGTATCACCATAAGTTTGACAGCTTCTCAATATTTATGGACATTTCTGATGGCATCTATGGTGATATTAATGAATTTAGTTTTTGGATATTGGATAAAATATAATGTGCGAACATTGGGAAGACCTGCATTTGCTCAGTGAATCCATGTTTTCCTGTCGCTAGTCCATGATATTACAAAATCATATATGGATAAAAGTTCCATTTTAAATATAAGGCAGACAATGTATCTTAAGACACTGTTATGAAAAGTTTACAGAAAAGGTTTCAAATTTCATAGTGCAACAAACCTTTAATAAATGGCCTCTTACAAGAGTTTTGGTGTAGTATCAAAGAAGACTATCCACAATTATCTTAAAAGGCTATAAAATTCTCCTCGCTTTTCTAACTAAATGTTGGTGGTGTGGAGCCAAATTTTCTTCATTGTCCTTCAGTAAAACAATTTGCACCAGATTGAATGTAGAAGCAGATATTAAAATCCAGCTGTCTTCTGTTATGCCAGACTTAAGGAGATTTGTAAATATGTAAAAACAAAACAAAAAAAGCCATCTTCTCAACATCTTCTTGTTTTAGAAAAAGAGCTTTTAATCAATATTATATTAATGTGTAATTTTATTATTTTGTGAATTATATTATTCTTGATGAAATTTAACCTCTACTTTCAATAGAGATTACTATTAACGGATAACTATCAATAGATAAAATCTTAATTAAAAGATTCTTTGAGGTCTTCAGTAATTTTAGGGATGTAAGGAAGGCCTGAGACTAGAATTTGAGACTTGCTTGTGTAAGCCAGCCAGAGTAGTCCCGTACTCCTTGCCACTAGGATTGGCACATGGGTTGCCGTAGAATAGTTTGATCCAATCAGAGGAAATCTCAGGATTTATTGCCTGATATGAGAGAGATGCTTTCAGGTCCCAATAGACAAGAGGGGGGCAATAAGTAGCCTTAAAAGTTATCTAGAAGGCAGCCAGTTTAAGCCACAAGAAAATCTTACTTTAGAAATGGAATAATCCTGTGGGAAGCAGATGAGAGTGGTTTGAAAGGAACCATTGCCTTGAAAGCGTTTCTGAGTCACTATAAAGCTAGCCCTGCAGCCCATTCCATGTCAATACATTCTACTTTTATAGGCCAATAAATTTCATTGTGTGTTAAATTAACCAGCCCCAGATCTCTCAATTGATACATGGTACACCTGTTTGGGCATGTTCTTACCTAAGCATGTGCCTAAGGCCTCAGAATAATACACTTTCTAGGGTTTACTCATTCACTCATCTTCACTGCACCATAAGTTAGCTTCCAAAGTGAAGATGGAAGGTAGGAAACTGACCTAATACAGAAAAGTGGGATCAAAAGCTCCAGCACTTTTGTGAGTGATAGACACAGAGGTAAATGATATTGAAGGGACGGTTATAGCAGATTTTTATTTTCTTTAGCTTTTATGTATTTCTCAAATTGGACATGAATCATGTGTTGCTTTTATGTTGAGCAAAAAATAGAACTACAGTCACACTGAACTCTATCGATTGATGTTGCAGTCAGCAGTAGACCCCATATGTCCTCCGTATAGGCACACAACCTGGGTGTGGAGTAGGCTGCGCCATCTAGTTAGTGTAATTACACTCTATGATGTCCATCCAATGATGAAATCACCCAACAACCTGTCTCAGAACACAGCACTGTTTATCGTAATAGCATCATCAAATGACACATGACTATTTTGCCTGTTTTAACTGAATGTGTACGAAGGCTGAGAAGGCAAGATGGGGTGCAGGATATGGTAAAAGAACTTTTGAGCTAAAATTGCTTGCAGGGAGGAAAGATGATCCTCATGCAGACAGGCCCAGAAAAGAAATTTCCTGTCGTTTATAGCTTTGCCAGGAACCAACCTCAAAGTCAGGGGATGAGTGAGAATCCCCAAGGTTTAAGGCATCATTAATTAATCAATCAGATGGGCTGGATATTAGCAGTTAAAAAAATGAGAAAGGCCAATGTGAAGGTAATGTCAACACTGAAAAAGATTTAAAATGTCACATTAAGTGAAAACGAAAAAGAGGATGCAGATTGTATGCAAACCTCCCTTGTGGCCAAAAACTGGAAGAGAACTTGGAAAAAGAAAACAGTTGTGGTGTTAGGGTGGCAGGATCCT